TCTTACCATATTTGTATTGATTTCAATGGGGATTTGCTTGAAAAACACTGGGCTGTCCATAAATAACGTATCGAATTTAGGGGTGGGGGCAAGAGGGGGCAAGGGGAAAAAGAGGGGAAAATCCCTGCCTTTGACAGTGCTTTGCGGCTATAAGGGCTCCTTACCTACTGATATACCCGTCCATCACATGTGAGCGCTATAACTGTTCCCCAATCATAGCATACTTTGGCAATATATACGTCACGTGATTCGCATAATACTAGTTTTTGTGGCTTATTATAAGTGTTGCCATTGTTATATTTAAGACCCCAATGAAATAACTGGTGATCGCTATTCAAAGCCAACCCATAGTTTTTATCTATGAAAAATTGTTGTATATTTTGATGACTTAATTGTGGCACTTCTTCGGGTGTATGTATGGGTCGGTTGTGTCCCAAACCCAACATTCCCTCACTATTACTGCCCAACCCATAGACCCGATCACCGGTTGTCACAAACAATAGGTTTATCATGTTTTTAGACTTCTGTTTAAAAATATGTAATAATTTAATCTCTTTTCTCATATTATCGGGAATTTTGGCACAAATTTCAAACTTATTTAAAATATCAGACATTATTATCGAGACGTTATAATTATTATACAACATAAAATATAATTATTTTAATAATATTTTTGACTAATGCACTTTTAAATTTTCATTATAATGATAATAATTTAACATAAATGCATAATATATAATAGGCTGGAAAATAAACACAATTAAATTCACTGAAATAATAAATATATTTAAGTTTTACCTAATATCAAGCATATTGCTTTAATAATAAGCACTCATTTACTACTTGCCATATATTTTACACCGAGGTGACACGTATAAAGTGATTGTTTATTATTGTAGCCATTATTATGTGCATATTATTATGCACTAAAATATCTACATTGCATAATTTATTCCAAGGACTTTTACACATGTATTGCATACTTAAATTTTTACTCACACTATTTTTAAATGAATAACGTTTATAATTATAATTATATAACCAATCTATAAAAATTATATTCAACAAACTATTTATTTATTTAATTATTCTGTAAAGTTAGCCATCAGGCCTAGAAAATGTAACTAATCTATTTCTATCACATCAACCTTAACTATAATTATCCTGCTGACAATTTTGTACACTTTGAATTAGTATAATTATATGTCGTATATAATTTATCAATAACAATTATATTATTAGATAAATTATATTATAAATTAATGAACGTTGGTTTATAATACTTTAATATTATTTAATAAATGTGTTTATTAACTATTGTTATAATATAACAATATATATTATATATTATTATATGAGTTATTATATGATATTTGTATAGATAAGTAAGAGTGAGTAAACAAATAGTTTAATAAACATAATAATCAATAAGCACAAGTAATTTTTTGGCCAAAATCTTAGTATTTATTTAATATTTGTTACTTATATATAGCGATAAATAATAACATTTATGTTTTTGTTATACTGACAATAAAATAAAACTTACATCATTGTATTTTATATTTCTAGTTTATAAAACAAAACGTGGTATAGAAAATAGCAATTTTGTAAATTATATTCATGAATATTTTGTAAAATTAAATATTTATATATTGTTTACTGCAGACGTAAGACTAATATTAGATATACTTATAATTTTATTAAAACTAAATTGTAATTATAAATTATATTTCATTTATTTTACTATTTGTTTATATGAAAATGTAATTTAAAAAATTCATGCAAAGTAAATAATGTAATTGTACATCTTACATAAAATATATTGATTTTAAATTTATTTTAGATTTATCATATAGTATTTTATTGCTTATTTAATGTTTAATTATTTAAAAGAAATTATAATTATTGTTATAAACATATAATTACTATAAACATATTGACTATCAATTTATATTAAGTTAATATTCATAATAATTTCACTGATTTTGGCCGCACTGTAAACATCTGTCTTGTAATCATCAGTTTGTCCGTCAGTTTCTTCGGGCGATAAATATTTGTGATTTCTATTGTCTGACAAACTCTTAAAAACATGACTCAAACCAAAGTCACATAATTTCAAACAATAATTATTAATAATTTCTGTCGTCTAATCCGTTGCCTATTTTTTTAATAGTTTTTAATTTAAGTTTGTGTAATTTTTGTGATGATTAAATTCTAATAAAACAAATTAAAACTTTCAAAACAATTCAATTCAAATAAAGTCAATTCATCGTAAATAGTGTTTTATTATTTTATTTATTGTTTGTTTTGTTTATATAAAAATTTACATACAATTTTATTAATTTCAGGCATTACGTAGAATAGCACAAAATATATTACAATTTATTTATTATTTATTTTAATAGAAATTTTGTTTATAAAATGTTTACATTTTTCTTTAAATAGTTCAAATGTTTTGTAATTATAGTCTTTATAATCGCATAAATGTATTGTTTTATAAGTTATTTGCATTTCATTCAAACAGTAATCAAAAGCATTCGTGTAATCAGTTTTACACAATTTAAGCGGTTCATTGATTTCATATATTTTATTATCACACGATTTACAGATTACACGAAAAGACTTCTTTTGCCATGATAAAAGTGCATATAAACTGTCCATGCTTACACTATTATTATTAAATAATTTTATCACTGATTTCTGTATTGACTCGACTTTATTATCGTTGATATATTTGCCACAAAAATACACAAATCCATCGTTCGGTAGGAAAAAAGTTTGCGTTGAATTCGAACAAACCGTTTGAATGTTAAACAAATTATCAATGATTTGTGGTTTTAATACATTATCCGTTATATTGTGTCCCAAATGGCACTCATTTTCACCCCAACTGAAGACTCGGCCATCAGTTGTGACGGCAAACGAGGAATGAGTAGAACAATAAACACCACGTATTTTATATTCAATCCCATTGTCTATAAATTGTATTTTCATTGGAGTTATTATTTCAGTCGAGTGCTGTTCCCCACAACCCAACTGTCCAAATATATTATAACCCCATCCGTAGACACAGTCATCACCGGTGACCACAAGTGAGTGATAATAACCACAACTAATATCACGGATAACAGGATTATTAGACAATGATATGACAATTGGTTTTAAGTAATCATCAGACGGTGATTGGGCTAACTGTGCCAACCAATTACGGCCCCATCCGTATATACAGTTGTTGTTATTAATGGATAAAACAAAATCCTTTCCACAAATAAATTGTCGTATATTTTTATGACATAATTCTTGTATAATATGTGGTGTATTGACAGCCCTATTGTGTCCCAAACCAAGTCTTTTCCATTTATTAGATCCTATGCCGTAAACCATGTCATCATTTGTCACAAACAATACATTAAACCCATTCCAGTCATCAAAAACATGAAATAATTGAATACAATTAATGTCTACTTTATTATCGATAGACTTATATTTGGGATCAATTGCTAGACTATTGCCACCAATCGATGCGATCTCTAAATCATTCGCTTTGCCATTGATTTCTGATTTACGCATTTGATTGAGTCTCACATAATTTGCGGGAAAGAGACCCACTTTGTCCCCACACCGGCCCCGACCCCAGCCCTCGTCGATCATCTCTATATCAGTGACCAACTCATTGGTATAGAAACTAATTTCATCCAAATCGGCCGCTCTGTAGTCATACAGAGCCGTAGCCGTCAGTCCTGTCGGCGAACCGCTATTATTACTCGGTTTCGCGGTTTTCTCAAAATCCAATTTTTGTTTCTCTGCGTCGGACTCGGGATTAGCCGTCGCTTTAGTCACCACTTGTTGTCTCACTTTCTCGGCCTTCATCTCGTGTTTTTCGCGCTCCAGACGTCTGTCCCTCTCCTCATCGGCTCTGCGTTTAGCAACCATTTCCTCGTTTTGGACCAATTTTTCAAGTCTTGCCATCAAATAACTAGGTCTGTGTCCACCGGTGGCCCAACTCATTACTCCTGTCGACAATTGATCCGTTCTATCGCTTTCAGTATCACTTGATTTATGACCTAAAGTAACACCAATTGAAACATGGCTTTGGTTTCTCTCTTCCCGTTTGTGTCTCTCCTGAGGTGTGTTTCCCTCCTCTCCGACACTCGCTTTCCCTTCCGTTCCCTCATTTCGGGGCAAAGTCTCGAACTTTGTATTGAAAACACTACTACTATTATTAACCACATGTTTGTTCATAATATTAGCTTTTTTATTGGCATTTAAACCATTACTTGATTTGTTATTTAAATTATTATCTGTGCAAATGTCGGTATTATTTATTTTATAATTGAAAAACTCACTAAAAAATGTGTTTTCATAAGATTGTAGTGTATTTTGTATTTCGTTGAATGCTTTATCATTTGCTGTAATCATATGTTTATCGACTGACCAATGGTTGTAGTCGTCGAGTACTCGACCACTGGTCGGCCGTTTGTCTGCCATTGATTGAAACATTTGTTCAATTATTGCAAACAATTTGTTGAAATTGACTGAAAATAGGGTTGATTTGTATTTTTCCATTGGATTTTCACTAATAAAATGTAAAAATATATATTAAAAATAATAATAATAAAGTGATTCCCATTGACTTACATATTGAATAAATCAAACAAATGAAACGCAATGACTGCTAGACTATAGATGTCTACTTTGATTGTATATCGGGGTTGAAATATTTCGGGTGCCATATATTGTGCGGTTCCGACATTAGAGGTGTGGCTCATGGATGACATGTCATGACTGGTGGCCAACCCTAAGTCACACAACCGTATAAACCGAGTGTTATTACTATTTTGTGAAATCAAAACATTTGACGGTTTGAGGTCCCGATGGATAACCGGTGGACACAAATCGTGCAAATATTTTACACTCTCTAAGAGTTCTCTAATTATTTCACACGAAATAAAATATTCAAATATTTTCATCGGTTCTCCCGATTGTCTCCCAAAGACTGTGTGCTTATTATCGATAATCGTCTGTAGATTTTGTTGACAATAATCCATTTGAATGTAGAGATGATTGTCTTCATGCCATGAGTTGCGGTAATTCACCACAAAATCTGAACGCAATTTAAATAAATTTTGCACTTCTTTTAATATTTTCTGTCTTTTGTGATCGCTATAAATGTCTGCAAAACAAACTTATTATTAATACTTATTAAATACAAATTATTTAACTCTAAATTATATTAAATTTAGAATTACCAAGGAACTTAACAATTTTAACCGCGTACTCTTCCCCTTCAATCATATGCCTCACGTGATATACCTCTCCGAACCCACCCCTCCCTATATGCGACAACTTTTGAAAATTATAGTCAAAAAAGTTTGACTTCGGGTTAGAAACTACAAACGCGTTTAAAAACATGATAAATGTTAAAATATAAGTTTAAACATATTGTCATTTATTACCTGTTGATTGATTGGCAGCCATTTTGCTGATAATATTGTTATCAATTTTAATTTAAGGTGTGGTAATTATTATAGACTTTTGAAAGAGTCGAGACCTTGTAAACTTTACATATAAAATATTATCATTATGTTTTTGTTCTAATATTATTTATTACATAATATAATAAAACTTTTAATTAATTATACTTTTAATTGTATAAATAATTAAAGATCTTTTACTAAACAATTATTACCTTGTTGTCTGATTGTCTGTTGATTGGTTGGCAGTCATTTTGTTGATAATATTAATATTAGTATTTTTAATTTTAATATATGGTGTTGTAATAATTATAAACTATTAAAACTTTGTAAACTTTACATATGAAATATTAGCATTCAACATTTTGCAATATTATTTATTATAAAATATATTAATATTTTTAATTAATTATACATTAATTGTGTAAATATAGAGATCTTTTACTAAACACTCATTAAATAAATATAAAAATAATTGGTCGTTAATAACACTTGAATTCAATTCTTATGCTATTTTTATAGGAGAAATATTTTATAATAGATATAAATAATTGTGTCGTTAATAAGAGTAAATTTTGTGGTTAAGACTTGTAATAATCAGTTAAAGCAATGGAAACACAGATTTAACTGAAAATAAAGTGATAATAACTATAGTTTTATTGTCTCATAAATTACTTACAATTGAAACAAACACTCACTAAATGTGTGGCAAAATTTAATAATAAGGTGTAACCCCGAAAAATGTAACTAATCTATTTCATTAGATTTAAATTAGTAAAATTATATTATATATATAATTTATAAATTCATTAATAGAAATTATATCAATGTATGAATGAATGAACATTGGTTTATAATTTTTAAATAAATTTATTTATCAGATATTATTGTATATATTAAATGAGTGTTTAGTAAAAGATCTCTATATTTACACAATTAATGTATAATTAATTAAAAATATTAATATATTTTATAATAAATAATATTGCAAAATGTTGAATGCTAATATTTCATATGT